TGGATGGATGGATGGATGGATGGATGGATGGATGGATGGATGGATGGATAAGGAGATGGGTGGATGATCAAATGAGGCAAGGAGTCATTGTACACACAACTGGATGCATGGAGGACAAAGGGATAAGTAAGTGCCTGGTGACTAAGCCAGCAAATGAATGAAGAAATGAATGAACAAGTGGTTGAAGAGTTGACTGAAGACATGTGAATTTTTAAAGAGAGGATTGGTTATCTGGACAGATGTGTTATTTCAGTGAATGAATGAGCAAATGAATGGCTGAAGGGAAGGTGAATGGTCCAGGAGGGGTGAACACCAACAAGCAGGTCAGTTCCTGACGTGACACATCACCCCCAAAGGGGCCTCCCTAGCCTGGGGCCTGGCCTTCTTCCCAGACACCCTGGTCCCTGGGTGATGCCAAGACAGGTTTCCCTGAAGCCAGTGACTGCAGCCACCAGGGCTCGCTCACATGGAGGTCACACGCGTGCGCACATGCACACACACAGAGGGACCACGTCCAGGAACCTGGGGGCTGCTACTCTCGGGAACGGTGACTGGCATGTGTGCTAACTGGAAAGAAACCCTTCCCCTGTGGAGTAGAGGCCAGTAGGCCCCACTGAGGACCCCAAGCCCCCAGCTCTCTCATGCCGAGGGGCTGCAGTATTGACCCATCTGGTGTGTGACCTTCCACATGTGTCCCCCATGCCGGAGCTCAGTGTCCCAGGCTTTAGGGAAGCCAGCCTGGCCCCACTCACTCACACCCACATTTTCTCCACCTTCCTTTTCCAGGGACTTCCAGGCCCCAAAGGGGACAAGGTACGTGCTTCTGGAGTCTGGGCAGGTGTGTCCGCTGAGGAAGAACCCCAGCCTGCACACAGGAGCAAGCACACCTCTCCCAGCGCCTCCGTGCTGGTGTCCCCATCCACAGAGTGCAGCACGTGCCGCTGGGCCCTAGAATGGCCCCCGGGCTTCCTCCGTAGAACCTGGGTTCTCCAGGCCCCAGGGCAAAACAGAAACCCAAAGGCCCACTGCCCAAGTGACCAGGTTCCTCGGTAACAGGCCAGGAGGGGGGTCTTGGGGTCTCCCCTGCAGAGCACCGTAGCTCTGAGAAACGACTGCCCTTGCCGTCGCTCTCTGTTCTTCAGTTTGGGGGTTCAGTGAGGGCAGGTCGGGGACAGCTTGTCTCTGCTCCACGAGGTCTGGGGGCTGGCAGGACGCGAGGGCTCTGGTCTGCGCCTTGCTGTCAGCGCCTCCCTTTCCTCGTTGCAAACAGAGCGAGGCTCTGCCCACCGATGTCCTTAGAATTCAGTGAGACCGTGGGGGAGGGGGCAGCGGTTACTAGTCCTAAAGGTCATGGAGCTCTGTTTTCTGTCCCTAGGGTGCCCCCGGAGACTTTGGCCCCCGGGTAAGAAACACACACACACGCAGAGCAGCATTTCCTCAGCACCCTGCTTCCTGTAGCTTATCACAAAAACCCATGAGGGAGGCCGCCCCTGCTTCCTGCCCAGTTTCAGTCCTGCCCACTGGTTTTGGTTTTGGTTTTGGGGGGTTGTTTGTTTATTTGATTGTTTGTTTTTCGGTTAAGTGGCCGCCCCAGGCAGCTGGGTCTGGCTGCAGCTGTGTACCTGAGCAGATGGGGGTCTTCTGGCAAATGCCCTGGCCCCTCTGATCATGGTCAAGTTAACACAGGTTAGCCTGACCTTCCTAAGGGCTGAGGGGCCCCAAGAAAGAGTGAACACTTTGGGGTTAGCAGACCTGACCCCAACGCTCAGTGCTGCCATCTGCCCTTAGATGCAGACTATCACCCCCAAGATCCCGTTTTCTCCCGATACCCCGAGCAGCTGTTGTAGAGACTCCTAGGAGTCCTAAGTCCACTCCCAGCACAGGCAGTGGACCGAGTCTCCCCTCAGCTCACTGCTGCCTCGGTGTCCACATTGGGGTGCAAAAGTGCCCCAGGCTGAGCCTGGAGTCTCCTCGTGGTGGCCCCGGTGCAGAGTCGGGGGCCCATAGGAGAGAGCTCTCCCAGGGTGGGAAGCCAGCACAGAAGGTTTAGACAGAGGGTGACTTTGAATCGAACCTGGCCAGGTGGCCTCTGCCATCTCCACACAGCCCCCCCCTCCCCCCAGCAGAGCCCTGGGAGGTCTGACAGCAGAGTGCAGATGGCCTGTGACCCGGGGTGAACACCTTTCACTTGGGGGAAGGCAGGAAGGGGCTGACGTGAGGAGCAACCCCACCTGAAACTGTCTGTGCCCCCAGGGGCAGGGGTGGAGAGGAAGGAGTGGCTGCAGGGCAGAGAGCCCAGGCTGGGGGCCTGCCTGCGTGGGACCTCATGGCTCTGTGACCCGGGACAAGCTGTGGCCCTCTCTGAACCGGGCTCTGTGGAATGAGGGCAGCTGAGCCCGCGTCTCTCAGGGGCCTCTGAGCCTCGGCCACACAGGCATAGTGTTTTGTGAGGGACCCTGGGTCGCAGGGTGGGCCAGTGAGGCTTCCCTGGACTGTGTTTCCTGGCAGCAGGGTGCCCATTGCTCAGTAGACCAGGTGTCCCCAGCCTACCTTTCACGAGAGAGCAAACCCCCTCCCGAGCCCCTCTCCCTCTTCATTAGAGCCTGCTTGTGGCCCTGCTGTCCATTACCTGGGAAGGAACCGTCCCAAGCTTTAGCAACTGAGAACAGCGGTTTCTCCTGATCTCCCTTGGCCTTCCGGGCTGGCTGGCATCTTCCTTGTGGTTGCCAGCAGATGGCAGCCGAGGCCAGAGACATCCGAAGGTCAGGACCCTGGCACCCATGGTGAGGATGCCCTCACCTGTCCAGCTGTTGGCTGGGGCTCAGCCGGGGAGCCCACGTGTGGCTCTCCATGGTGCTGGCTTCTGCCAGCAGGGTAACTGGCCTCCCAGAGGGAGAACCCAAGAGGCAGGCACTGCCCAGCCAGAGTGGACCCAGCTCCACCATGTTCTATCCCACCCAGCAAGTCAGCCCAGCACCCCAGGGGTAAAGACACAGATGCAGCTCATGGGGGGG